ACCATTTAATCTGTCAACTAATCCAATGTTAATGCAGCTTTTTTCACTAATCAGTCATGCCATGCGACACTTGTCAGCGCTATAAATAGCCTGACTCTCTCTCTTCATTAATTCTTTGGCACGCGTCCCAAGGACGACAGCTCACCATCGACCATGCAAACGCCGGAATCCTCACCGGCAAAATCAATGCGGATCAAACCCTCACCGGAAACACGCCGGGAAATTCATCCAATCACCGGAAAATTCACACGTTCTTCATGTTCTTCTTTTTTTCCAGCCAACTTCATCATAACCTTCGTAACTCCACCGTTTTACCCAGAAACGCATCAAACCTCATCCACAATTTCCCAAATCTTCACCGGAAATTCATCTAAATTCATCTGTTCTTCACTTTCTCCATGAACTTCATCCGAGTTCTTCGTTTTTTTCCAGAAATCATCACGCCTTCATCAGATTTTTCCAGAACCTTCATGTGTTCTTCATTTTTTTTTCCAGAAACTCATGCAAATTCATCACCTTCATAATATTTTTTTCAGATATGTGAACTTGAGACCATCACCTTCATCCATATTTTCTAGATTCGTTCAACCTTCATCTATTTCCAGATCTACCACTAGCGTCATTCATCCTTAAACATCAACGTCTTCAAGAATCCATAGATCAACATGCAGATCACGAATACTCATCCAGAACTCCGATCAACATCAAAAAACAACCTTCGATCTACCGTTTTCTCAGATCTACATCCAAACACGTCCGACGGATATAACTGATCTCATCACAAACTGTCACGGCGAACTCAGATCTTGATGAATGGAACCTTCAATCATCTTCAAATCATGAAGTTTTTCGAAGATCTTCATCAAATTTCATCTGAACCGCACGCGATCTACAACGATCCACGAGCCTTCAAACATCTTCAAATCTTCGCATCCGGGATCTTAGTGATTTTGCCATGTTTCGTTTGTTGTCTGGTTTTGTTTTTCACATGAGAGTAGAGGGAGACAAGAAGCAAAGCAAAAGAAAGGGAGAGAGTTTGTTTTGGTAGGAAGAAGTGGAGAACAAACAGTGAGGTTGAGAGATCACCGACGACGGTGGCTGTGAGGAAGACATTAGGGTTCAATTTGCTGGCAAAGTGGGAGGAGGAAGATGACTGTGGACTTCTGGACTGTTTGGGTTGGTTAGCGGGCACTTCGGCCCATTTCTTTTTGTTTAGGATCATACCCCGTTTCCACTTGCGCACCCCTCCTGTCTGTTTATTTTTTATCATGGGCCTTAAGCCTTAAGCCCAACCGGTTTACTTCATTACACCCCCGTATTCCTCTTTGCGCCTCCCCTGTTTGGCTTGTTTTTGTGTGTTGGATTTAGGCTGAAAGCCCAAACGTGTGGCTTCATTATACTCCCTGTATGCTTATGTACCCCCCTGTTGGATTTTTGTTTCTCATTGTTTGTTGTGGATTTGGGCTTAAAGCCCAACTGCGTTTTTCACCATGTACCCCTGTTCAGGACTGCTGTACCCCCTTTGTTGTTTTTATTTTCTTTTTGTTATTTCTTTTGTAAATAATCTTGATATTGTAATATATATTATATTTTCTTTTAATAATTTCTTTTAAAGTATTATATGTATATATTATATATAGTTTTTTTTATATATTCTATTTTCTCTTCATTTCTTTTAATAATTTCTTTTAGAATTTTATTTTCTTTTAGAAGTTGTTTTCTATTAAAGTTGAGTTCTCATCTCCTTTTGGTATTGGTTTTTTCTCACCATTTCATTTTTGTAGGTCGATGACGAGACCTCCGTAAACCGTTATTAATCAGATTGTTGATGGACAATGTAGGATTCGAGACCGCTTTTTTCTCTCCTCATCTTTTCTTCTTCTTCTGATTTTATTTTGCTTTTTCTGTTGTGCTGTCCGTGTGACATGATTCAATTGGAGAATGATTTTCAATATCATTTCTCTATCTTGTCTTTGACACGGATATCAATATGCTACCTCTTGGGGTTTGACTTATTTTATAAGTCGAATTATGACGGTTCAGCGTCACATTGTTTCTGGTTTGAAATATCATCATCAAGGATAAAAGAGTAGAGCTTGGAAATGGAGCTTGCATGCAAAAGTCAAGGGTCAACGGAACCACTCCGTTCGGTAACATTGTTTTTATTTCATTTCTTTCATCTCCTTCTTTTCAACCGTCGAGTGTTGTGAGTTGTAGCGTTAGATACGTGAGAAATGGTGATTGAGTGGCCACCTCTCGATTGCCTAGAGTGTTTAGTATACGTCCTTAGGACGATATACGACGCATTTGCTCCTACGCTTAGGACCTCGTGTGTGCGTCCCGTTCTGAACCTTTTCTCTCGCGTCCTGGCGATCGAGACTTCCCTTTTTTCTCTCGCGTCTTGGCGATTGATATTTCTCTCTTTTCTCTCGCGTTCTGGCGATCGAGCTCCCTTCTCTTGCCCCCGTGCAATCGAGACTGTTTTCTGTAGTTGGTCGAACTACGACTGCTCTGATCTCTCATATCTGTTGAGAGTACATAGGCATAGGATTGTGATAATCCTAGCGAGCACTTTTCCCCCTTTCCTGTAGTTAGCTGAACTACAGCTGCTCTAATTTTTTGTACCAGACCGTAGTTCTAGTTCCCGTAGGTTCCCATACCTTTAAACCCCGACATACTACGTCCGTTCTACCACAAACAGGTAACGCCTAAGTCTCCAATGGTTGAGCAGCATACACCTAACTGCTAGAATGCGCATGCTAGTATTGTCAACCTTTTTCTCTCACCCCCGTGTGATCGAGAACACCCTTGTTTACCCGTAGTTATCCTGAACTACGTTTTTCTATAATTTCTCATGCCATATGAGAATACGTAGGCACAAGACGCGACGTCTTGGCGAGCAATTCCCCTCGTAGTTTCCTGAACTACGTTGACTCTGACTTTCCCATTGCACGAGGGAATACGTAGGCATAGAGCTGCGATGCTCTATCGAGTCAGTTCTTTCCGTTTAGCTTTAGCAGTCGTAGCTAGATTGTTTTTTACCTATAGACTATACAACCAAGCGTGGATCCCGTCGAGTACGACAGACGTGAGACGTTCTCTTACCTTTCCCTTGAGTAACTGACTCCCGAATCCAGACATGGTTGCGACGACCTTGTCTTTCCCTTTTTCTTTAGGTTTTTGCGATCGTTTCCTTTCCCTCTCTTTGGGATAAATAACGAAAGTGGTGGCTCTTCTGTTTTTTCCGCCAGTTGTTTTTCGCTATTGCGACAGCGTGCACACACATTCATAAACAAACGCGCGCGTATTCCCTCACAGACACACGCACATAAACAAACATGCACGCATGCACTCACAGACACGCGCACATAAACAAACGCGCGCACACACACATGTGAGTATGCACGCACGCACTCACACGCAGACACAGACACACACGTACGCACGCATGCAAACGCACGCCCGCCCCGCACACACGCTTTCCCCCCGCCCGCCCGCCCACGAATGCAGGCACACACACACGTACACACACATATGCACTCACGCGCGTACACACTCACACATAGCGTGAATTCCACTGTATGTTTTCACTATATTCCTATTGAGATTAGAAGGGATTTTTTTAATTATAAGTTAAGTATACCTTTCTTTAAGTTCTCAAATTTTTGATGGGACTAACTTAATTCCCCTTTTTCTTAGTATTCTTGTTTGTAAAAACTTTTATCTTTATTATATCAAACCTTATTAAAAAAAATTATTTTTCTATAATTTTTTGTAATCTTTTTATAAATATATTTGCAATATCTTATCTCTTAAACAAGTTAAATTCTATGAATGAATGTTGGCTTAACTTGTCGCTTTTACCTTCAAATTACTAATGCTGTTGTATTAGTTTAATGACTGTATTAAAATTTAAACAGTGCAATTTTTATCGCATTGTTATTTAGGAATAAATAACATAGCCAAGAGATAGACAAACATATCATTAATAATTTTGTATAACTTTGAGCACGTTGAAAAATCATAATAAGAGTCTAAGTCTAAAACAAGACTTATAATAAGTTAGTAAATGAAAAAAGGAATTTGAAAATAATAAATCAATAGACATAATCACTACAACATTTTAACTCTATAGCAACATAGGAAACGCGCTGCCAAAACTAAAAAATCTGTTGCATTTCTCTATCAGAAAGGTTTTAGGATCGTGTTAAACTGAAGCGTTCCTTTATCCTTTTGCAACGATTATTATTCCCAATGTAACGCCCCGTACATAACTGTTCTTTTAGTTTTCCATAAAGAGCGCTTATCAATAACAACAGTTGTACCTTGTTCTGAAAGTAAAATCATTGGCTTTCTAGTGGTTTTAGGAACAACTATTTCATGTGATATAGCAATAGTTTGTAGCTGTTGCTCATTTAAAACCATTCTAGTAGATCCATATCTTAATTTCTTCTTCGAAGGCTATAGCAACAGTTTTTATACTACAACAAATGTTTATAACCGTTGCAACAAATGATGTTTTTCTTAAAATATGAAATCATTTTATTTTATAAACCTAATAATAAATATTATCATTTACAATTTTTATATAATAATATTCTTATACAAATTTAAAATGATCATTTAATTATAAAAAAACATAATAAAAAATAACATAATTCATTTCAATGTGGAATGTATATTGAAGATGTAGAATAACATAATTCATTTCAATGTGGAATGTATATATTCTAATGTTAATCATGATTCACAATTAACAAATCAATATACATTTCATATTGTCAATAATCATTCATAATCAAAATAAAATCTTGAATCTAGAAAAGTAAACTTAAACATCTAAATTTACATCTACATCTCTTCACTGTCGAATGACTGAAAATCTTCATTGATATCATCATTCATGATTTGCAAACTAAAAGTAATAAAATGGAAAAAAATTATTATCCGAAAGCTCTAAAACTATAATGTAAAATATAAAACAATTCAATCTTACTTGATCATTTAGTTGGAGCATGTGTTGATGTAGAAGAACACAAGACACTATTAGCATCAGTTGCAGGGGATGATACCAAAGCTGCGAGAGCCTCTATATTCAACTCTGAGGTGTTTTGATTCAAAATGGCCTTAAGAAGCAGCTGCATTTTTCTTTCCATTTCTTCTTTATCTTGACGACGTTTCTCCTCCATTTCTTGTATCCTATCATTAAACTGTCTAACCTCATCCACATGCTCTTTTTTGAGTTTTGTTATTTCTTCATTTCTTTTCAAGAGAGTCGGTGTTGTGGTTCTTCCATGGCAACCCATCTCCCCGATTTTTGTTTATCAAATACACTTTCAAAAGCTTCTGAAAAAGGTTGCCCATGATTTTCAATTAAGTCTTGAAGCTTTATCTAGCATATATTATATAATAGTAGTGAATGAAATACAAAGAACAAGACATAACAATTAAAATTAATTAAAAGGTTAAGGTATGATTAATTATACCTTATTCTAGTATTGAATGCTACTTCTAGGACCTAGCAAGTAGTAAATTCGGAATTTCTAGGAACTGTTTTAAAATTCGAAGCAAAATAAGAACATAATGTGTCTAATCCTATTATAGAAGCAAAATATTTCAATTTTATTATTTATTTGATCAATATATATATATATATATATATATATATATATATATATATATATATATATATATATATATATATATATATATATAATTCTTTTATGATTAATGTCTTCTGTTGGAAAGTATTGCTGTGAATTTTGGATAATTTATTTGAATTATATTGTAGACGATGTAAAAAAATTGGTGTCTAAAGTCTTATAGACGTGCAAGGCGGTGTTGTTATGGCTATGTAAGTTATTCCTATAGGATAGTGAATGGTAACAGAACTAAGACCTTGACTTTGGATGCTCATCTTTGCATGTTAGGAATGACAAAGGATAGATATTGGCAAATAAATGCAACACCAATTAAAACTATAGAAAACTTGGATGAATTAAAAAATGGTAATAAAAAATATCTTTTGAGGTTCAGTATGCCCAATATAATAAATTAATAATGTGACTTTAGTTGTCGGTAACACACAGTAAAGCAACAAAAATCTTTAGTTGTATGATCTCTCTCCATCTCATATTTCTTTTAGAATGTAGTTATTTTAAATGACCATGTTCTTTTACTATCAAAATCAAAACTGATGTTCATGTTCTATACTATTTCAGAACGTGCAGAGGGGCACTCATCTTTATTTGGAAACAAATTTAATGTTATGATTGCATTAAAATTTTGGAGAAACATATCCATTCATGATAGAACGTTTGTGTATTTGTAGTACAAAATATAGCAGTTTTTTTCTTCTAGAATCATGATTCATTATTTATTTTCTACAGTTATAATTTGTAAGTTTATGAATATTTCATTTTTTAGAATGGAAATGCCACTACCATTTATAAAGAGACAAATTTGAAACCATTTTTCCAAACATTATATAAAAAGAAATTCAAATAAGATAAATTTGGTGTCACTGTGTCAAGATTGACCATGACCACCACATTCAAGTAAAAAAGTACATGCAAACTAACGTAATCTCATATCATACAAGTTAAAAACAATAACTTACAATTGCATGGCTGGTTTCTTGATCCAATTCCTTTCCTTTTCTACTTTGTCGAGTAGAAATGAACATTTCAGCCTGAGCCGGAGGTTTTTTATCTCCATTACTTTCACGCTAAACCAAGTAAAACAAAATTATGATAATATTAATAAAATAACACAGTTTAATATCCAATTAGAATAATTTAAGAAAGAATATCATTTTTCTCTTATAACAACAAAGGCTTTACTCCCTCTCCACTCGATGTCTCCATTTTAGTTGAGTTATCTTTTCGGTATTTTGATGACTGACTTCCTACATTCGTTGATATAGAAAAAAGCCCACTCATGTTAGTTGTGAAGTATGTATTAGGATAAGTCAACCTCTTAGATCTATGATCTATTCTAATATATTAAAACCAAACCAAACATTATTTTGCCATATGTATCCATTTCTCCTTGTGCCTATTATTAATATATTAATTATATATGCTAAAAGACCACCCAGTTAGATGGATTTGTAAAGGACAACAGTTAGATGTACAAGGAAAGCAGTTAAATGGCAGCAGTTATATCTTACTTTAGTTTCTAAAAGAGTTCAAAAATAAAGGACAACTGTTAGATGTACAAGGACAACATTTGAAGGACAACAATTATATCTTACTTGAGTTTTTTTATCTCTCAAATAATCCAATAACTTTCTAAAATCTTCTTCTGGTACCTCTCGTGGAAGACTTTTTAGCTGATCGCACAAGGTTTTATACTTAGTAAAATGATTCCTTTTAAGTGAGCATTTATATCGTCTCCAAGCATCATTTATAATAGCAAATACAACTTTCCTTCCTTCTTTTGGAACATTGTACTTTTCCTGCAAAAATATATATTTAGAAAGATGTATACGTTAAAGTATGCTAACAAAACAAAATAAAATAAAATAATTAATTACATTAACATAATCCCACACAGGACCTATATTGTGTGTCTCCCAAAACTTAACCAAATCAATCCAACTAGTGAAAGTGAGAGGACATAAATCTGAAATTCTTCCTATTGTCCCCAAAAAACTACTTTGTTCAGACACTGTTTTTTCATCTGGCCCAATTGGTTATCCTTCTTCATTCAAGGTGACATCTTGTCTATCTTTGAATTCTCAAGCATGAATTTTCCGACATAAAGTCTTTCCTCGTTTTCTTATTACTACACATTGACTCATAGGAAAAATAAGACATGAGAAAATCCTGAAGGTGATTAAACAATTTGATATGTTATCTTCCAAGTGATACATATATGCCATTCTTTTTAAACAAAACTTATATAACCCAAAGAAGCTACATCCTTTCGAAAATAGTGTAATTACATCTATTTTTACATGCACTTGCAAAAGATGTTTATTCTGGTGTGATTATTACACCCATTTATGTTCAAGTGAAGAATGGTGGAAATAGTGTAATGATGATCTCTATGTAAATATTCCTTATTTGACTCAATATTCATTCCATGCTTCAATAATGAGATTAGATACTCTCATGTGTTAGAGAATTAAAATAGGATCTTGCAAGAAATGAAAAATGTATAATTTTTCTATGTTTCATTCTATAGAAGAACATTTTCTAATTCCTCTTAAACAACACAAAATTCAAATTGGATAACATTAAATTCTATGTTTATATGCAGCACATGGTTAATTTAACAATTCTAATTTTTGAAAACATCTTTATACATTTGTCTGATTTTCTCTCTCTCTCAAAATTAATGGCTTAGTGATGAAATTTGACAAATTAGATTTTGTTGCCAAACTTTCATATATCATTAGTAAAACCTTCAATTTCTTATCATTGACAATAAGGAAATCTTTTTTAAATCAACATGAATATTAATTAAAATTATAAAACAAATTTGACAAGATATAAACCAAACTCAATCAACAATTAGAAAAAAAAACTCAGTGTTGAGATGCAGGGGATAATAGTTGTAAAGATAATAGTTGTTAAATTGATTAGGTAGAGCACGGTGTGTTTGAACATTAGCTTGTGATGATATTATATCTAAATACCAAACCTTAACATTAAATACTCATTATGTAATCAACAGATTGGTCGAGATAATTTAGCTTTCCATAATACTCTTTCAACAACTAAAAACTAGGAGAAACTAACATTTGTTGTATGACTAAGCTATTAAAAAATTAGGATTTGAATGCTGACCTATTACAAATAAGTAGGTAAATCTAGTTGTCATGTGTGTGGCTTCTCTTATGATACTAAACCTTCACACACAAATATTGAGGATAAAAAAGTGTTACGAGCTTGAGACCCTACAACAACTTAACACTTAATTAAATTAAGATATTATGTTAAAACACACCACCTTAGCATCACGAATCATAGAAGTAGCCAATAGAACTTAAAACACGGTTCACCTAACACTCTTTAAGCCTAAATGCAATGAAAAACACTAAAAAAAAGAGTAATAAAGGAAGACAATGACAACCAAATTATCCATCCAGCCATCTTTTTAAACTATGACAGAACCCAAATTTGTCTTCATACTAACATATCCACCCTACCCTGCAATTGATATATAACAAGCCAAGCCAATAAACCCCCGCAACAGGTGGCCATTTACACACCAAAACAACCACCCAACAAATGAAGCTAAAAATTGGAATTTATTTTACTATCTCAAGTAAAAGTTTTGGTAGAGATATAAGTAATTCGATTGGTAAAAATATTTATTTATATCTGATTGCTTTTGTCAAGAAGATCACACTACTAACATATCCTATTATTTCTCTTAAATTTTTCCATTTTATCAAGGAAATTTTGAGTTAATTGATCAAGGAGCAATAATACATTAGCACAATACTGCTTTGAGTTTTAAAACCTTATACCAGAAAGTTCCACGAACAAAGAAATTAATCTAGTTATGACTAGTTCACCCTTACATAACACTAAATCTAAGGTTAAACAACATAGGAAATCAACAATTTTAACTAACCGGGTATTAGATTTTGAAATAAGAGTATTATTACTTTATTTGAGAAACAGAATCAAATCAAAGACAAAATCAAATCACATACAAAGAGAGCATGCAACAATAATAACCCTAAAATCTAATTTTTTTTAAAAAAATCCAAACCCCGTCCATTTCAAAACATCATCCAAACTTAATAAAAAAATTAGCAAATTTGATATGAAAAAAGAAATAAATCGAATAGAAAAAATGACTTACTAATATGAAAGGATTGAAAACCCTTTGAGGTTTGAGAAATATTGAACTGACAAAGTCTCCAATGGTTAGGGTTTTAGACCTGAAAAAGAAGAAAGGGTTATATTCGTACCTAGAGAAAAGAGAAAATTAGAGGATAGTTTGTAATTGTTGAAGGAAGCTTGTACGTTAGTTGAAGGAGAACTCATAATTGAAGGAAGCTCGAGGGACAAATCGTAGACAAGAGAAGAAGGAGAAGCTCATCTGATTGAAAAGAAAGGGTTAGGGTTAGAGTTTAGGGAAAGAATCTCGTAGGCAGGAGAATCACGAAACAATTTTGGGTGGAAGAAAATTCATTTTCGCGGTCTCACAAAATACAGAAAGGGATTTGCGAGGAATTTTTGTTTAAGCGTGTTTAATGGTTACCTTGTTCGATTCCAGGGAAGAAGTGTGAATTGAAAAATATTTTTTTAATTAAATAAGGAGAACGGTCACTTACATATAAATA